ATCAGGCGGACCAGCGCGAGTCATGAAGCGGGGATGGACGAGGACGCTGACGTATGTGTTTGTCTTCCGTGTGTTGTTATGCTATCACTGTCACTTGTAATCTATGCGCATGCACGAGGGACCCTTGGCTGGTCGCGAAGACTTACGCAGTCCGACGTTCGACGTTCAAGGCCCGATCCACCGACGCCTTGCAGAGACACCCTCAGCCCGAGCAACCTAAAGGCTCGGAACGCCTCTCGGGATCACAATCAGGACCGGAAAGGGTGACTCGCTAGCATATGGCCCGCCAGGTACGTATGGCCTCGGTGACCGCAACGAACTCTCGCCCTTCGGCCCTCGTTCAATGCTCACCTCGCTCGCATTGGCCCTGTAACGTAACTGTAGTAAGTAAGAATGTCAAGACGCTTCAAGCTTCAGGCATCAGGTGCGCCGTCGTTCGAGTGTTCCCATTGCTCTATTAGTTTCCTGTAAATGCTCATGATGTGCAGTCATGTATCTTTGCTTTCAATCTTGCGTCATTGAGCTGTACGTAGTACCTTTTCCTCCGTGTTATGTTTGGCTTTATCCCTCCTGTCCTGCAACTCCATGCCCCATTCGCCCGATCCACATGGCGCTGTTCTGCCTAGATTTACGGTACGGACCCTAGCCGGACACGTTGCCTTCACCAACACATCGCGGCATTGTTGAGGCAATATTTATGGTCGAGCGGGTGCGTACCAGCTTAGCAGGCATTCGGGGCGGTGACGCTTGCTTGAGGTACCCTTCCACTGACGATAGCAAGACCATCTACTAAGGCGCCACAGGACCTCCGTCGGCTCAAGCAATCACACGCGTCCACCACTCTCGAGCTCGTCAATAAATACGTTATTCGTGCGTTCACGTTTACGGACGATAATGTACAAGGTATGTTACAAGTCGAAACTCCTTCCGATTTTCTCCAGTCTGATGATTGTTAACGTTTGCGTTGAGTCTTAGGCCTCTGGGAGCGGCTTCTTCACGTCGACGAACTCCTTCTACAAATGCAACTCCGATTAGCAAGACTTATCGAATGCGCGGAGGCAACATTGGGTGTATTCACCTTCGGGGTAAGGTGGCTTGTCGTCGCACCCTTCCGTGCCTTGAGGAACTTACGAGCGACCTTCTGCAGGACAGCGTAGAGCGTTAGCGCCGCGAATAGTACATCGACCGATCCAAGCTTACGTCGTTCTCCTCCGCCGAGAGCTTACTGGTGACCTTGGTGAGCTGGTCGCGCTCTTCCTCGTCGGCGTGGTTGAGGAACTCGTCCACAGCGCGTTTGATGAAGTCGGCGTAGTCGTCGGAGCCGGGGTGGGCCTTGTCAGCCTGCTTGATGAGCTGCTTGATGTTCTCGTGCTCCTCTAGGTGACGCGATGTAAGTACAATATCAAAATGTGCATCCGCCGTATGCTGCTTACTTCGGTCGAGCTCAGCCATCTTTGCAAGGCCCTCTTGCTCGAAGGTGTTGTACACAGAGGTGTCCCTACATGACAGGTGAGTGTTATGATACGACTGAGGCTGGGACACCTACTCAGCATCACCATGGACAGACATCTCACGGAGGAGAGTGTTGCCGATGGCGATCTTCTCAGTGTCGCCGGCCGTCTTGAACCTGTTCAGGATGAGCGAGGCTACCATTGAACGCGACGGTCACTAACCTCATGAAGAGATCACGGATGTTGTCGTGGTCGGCCTTGATGATCTGTGCGACGTCGAGGGACATGGTGACGATGGGTGAATGCGAAGATGTTACAGGCGAAGGAGGGAAAGCAGGTTGGGATGCGGATGCGTTGAGTCGCGATGGTCAGGGCCTTTTATGCGCTCGAGGAGGGTCGAGGACCGCAAGAGGACGATCGTAGAGCACGGGAGCGTCAGCCAATGGGGTGGTGAGGATTTGGGAACCTGCGGACGATCTGCTCCCTCTGCAGGCATGTCATCGACGGCACCTTCGAGGACGTCCATAACGGGCGACGAGGAGTCGGGAGTGACGCCATCGGCCATGGCGAGAACGTGCGTCCCGGCTGACTCTTCACAATATGGTGACGTGCAGCGGCCGTGTCGGCATCGCGTCGACGCGTCCGCGTTCTGTTTTCGCGAACGGGGCGAACGCTGTTGACGCGTTGTTTGCTCGCATTTGCACGTCGCGTCGCGTCAACCCTCGCCCGCACTCTCACCCATCGCACCCCTTCAACCTCTCCGCTCTCCTCACAGCTCGCCCGACGACGATGGGCATCCAGTCTCTACTCTTGCCAACGACGCTGGCCGTCCTCGTCGCAACCGTTGCCTCGGCCGACTCCGCTTGGCATGGACACATCTCTCCTGGTTCTACCAAGCTATCGAGGTTCACGCCATACTATGTCCCGCCTGGAGCCAGAAGCTACGACTCCTCGTCACCTTTTCTGCACTACTCTGGTACTTGGTCTGAGTCTTTCTCTTCCAAATTCGTTCAGAAGAGCGCGCGTTTCACGTCGACGCCGGGCGATGCAATGTCCTTCACTTTCACTGGAACGGGCATCGAGTGGTTTGGTACCCTGGACAACAAGCACGGCATCGCCAAGGTCTATCTCGACGGAAAGCCCGTGGACACGGTCGACGCATACAACAAGGCTTCAATGAGCCAGCAGCGTATCTTCTGGGCGTTCGATCTTCCTCAGGGCAAGCATACGCTCAAGATCGTGAACACAGGGCAGGCGAACCCCGCCTCAAGAGGTAACACCATGGATATCGATGCCCTCGTGGTCACCCAGGGTCCTCCGCCTCCGGATCCTCTCTCCGACCAGCAGAACATGGCTATCTCGTACGCAGACATGCCGTCCTATCCTCCGCTGCTGGACCTGTCTTCGAAGTTCGTCCCCGAAGAAGAGTGGACTCTGGTGCAGAACGGCTCTACGGGTGTTCATGCGATGCAGCTGGCCATCATCTCACAGACTCATGCTCTTGTCGTCGACAAGGTAGAACACAATCCCCTCACCATCTCCGGGCATCCTGCGTGGGCTGCGCTCTACAATCTCAAGACCCATGCCCTCCAGCCTCTCTCCGTGCGGTCAAACTCGTTCTGTGCCGGTGGCACATTCCTCGGGAACGGGACTCTGATCAACGTCGGCGGCAACCCTGTCGTCGAGGACCACACAGCCGCGGCGGACTTCGGAGACCTCGACGGGTTGCAAGCGATCCGGATCTTCGAGCCTTGTGAGACTACAAGCGTGGGCAGTTGTACAATTTACGAGAATCACAGCCGTATTCGCATGGCTAGTCCGCGCTGGTACAACACCGTGCTCCGGATTTCGGATGGTAGCGCCATGATCATCGGAGGCTCGCTCAAAGGCGGCTGGATCAACAACGGTACGACGAACAACCCTACGATCGAGTATTACCCGCCCAAGGGCATACACGGTTCCAACGGCCTGCCCATTCACCTTCCGTTCCTGGTCGACACACTCAACTCCAATCTCTTCCCCATCGCGTTCTCCCTCCCCGATGGCACCGTCCTCATGGCGGCCAACCGTGACGCGACGATATATGACTGGCAAACGAACACCGAGAGAAGACTTCCTCGTATACCGAACGGCGTTCGTATCACCTATCCTATGACCGGCACTGGTCTGCTCTTGCCACTTTCGCCGGACAACGACTACACTCCGGAAATTCTACTCTGTGGCGGGTCCGCAGTCGACGATACCAAGGCGGGCCACGAGATCTCCTCACAAGACCCCGCCTCTTCCCAGTGCGCGCGAATCGTCCTGACAGATGCTGGCATCGCGGCTGGTTGGCAAGTCGAGCAGATGCCGCAGGCGCGGACCATGCCAGACGCAGTCCTCCTCCCGACAGGGGACGTCCTTATCGTCAACGGAGCGGGCTCCGGCATCTCTGGCTACGGCAACGTCTTCGACCGAGTGGGCGAGTCGAACGCGGACAACCCGGTTCTCACTCCCGTGCTGTACGACCCCAACGGCCCTGCTGGACAGCGCTTCTCATCTGCTGGAATGCCTACTAGCAACATCCCTCGCCTGTACCACTCGGTCGCGACACTCACTCCGCAGGGCGACATCATGATTGCAGGGAGCAACCCGAACTTGGACCGGAGCGGCCTGAAGTACGGCACGGAGTATCGCGTCGAGTGGCTCGGCCCGTCGTACATGAAGAAAGAGCGACCGCAGATCCTCGACGGCGTCCCCAAGCTGCTCGGGTTCGGCGAAATCAAAGAACTCCAGGTTCGGCTGCCTGCGGCGTCGCTGCAAGGTGCCAGTGTCAAAGGTGCGTCTTGCAAACTCGCAATTGTACTTCCTCATACTGACTCGTCGAGGACAATCTAGTCGTCCTCATGGACCTGGGGTATGTTACGCACGCCGTTCATGCGAACTCCCGGCTGGTCTACCTCACGGCCTCCCTGGCGGACGATCAGGCGACGCTGACGATCACCGGCCCGCCGAACGGGAACGTCTACCCTCCCGGGCCTGGCTTCATCTACGTCCTTGTGGACGGTGTGCCGAGCGTCGGCGTTAGAGTCCTGGTGGGCGACGGGAGGAGCCCCCCTGTGGACGAGCGTGCTTGGGAAAAGTGAGTGTCCGATCGGCTTGCAAGTCTAGCGCACGTATCGCTTACACCAGTGTGTGCTACAGCGTGTTGGAGAAGACCAACGTTGACCAGTACGAACAGTCGAAGGGGAAGTCGAGTGGGGAAGGCTCGGAATGAGTGTGCCCTCGGGATATCAATGTGCAGAACCTGTCCTGCGCATACTGACATCCTATCCTGGTATCGGCGCAGACCTGTGTTGTCTTGTAGTCTTGCTTTCGTTTTGTTCCTGTCTGCGTGGTTTGGACTCTAGCTGCGATGTGTGTTGATTATCATGACGCCACCATTGGGCTACTACATTTGAAAGACACCCGCGTACCGCTGTCACTAGGATCGACGACGGTCGACGCTGGAAAAGAAAACGTAGGAAAAGAGGGCGACCATAGGGCAAAAGAATTCCTCCTCGACCCAGCTACCACCGACGGGGATCGAACCCGCAACCCCCACCTTATTCCCACGCCACTATACGCATGAGCAGTAGGAAGGTGATGCGCTACCATTGCGCCACGATGGCTTGCGTACCCAGCGCACCTAGTGCTACATGTTGTGTTCATGAAGGCGTCATACTAACCACCTTTTGGCTGTGAGATATCTCCCTGGTCTATGCGTGTAGCATCAACTACTTAGTGCAACGAGCAAGCTATAGCAGTGAGAGTAAAGCAGTGATTTGAAGGGATGATACATGCGATACTAGTACTGCAGTAGGCGAGGAGTCTCGGTCAGCTTGGGCGTCAGTTCACTTCGGTCGCGGGTTCGATTCGCGCGATGACCTTTATGTCCTTCTGCTGACTCTCTCAACTCCAGCCACGATATGGTTCATGATTGCGTTGATTCATGTCACGGTTCAGACGATGGTTGTCTGAGCGGAAACCAGCTTCAGAAACGCATTTGCCGGGGTGTTCGAAGCCGGCAATTTCCGACCAAAGGTATACCGAGGCGCTTCAACTCCAGAGTCACGCATTCGCCTTGGTGAACTGTCAAGAATAGAGGCAATGGGGCCACACTGGACTACATACTCCCATGCCATGGAGGATCGAGACGAAGTGATACATACTGATGCACTAAGCGCTCATGTGGTCGGAAATTGCCGGCTTCGAACACCCCGGCAAATGCGTTTCTGAAGCTGGTTTCCGCTCAGACAACCATCATCTGAACCGTGACATGAATCAACGCAATCATGAACCATATCGTGGCTGGAGTTGAGAGAGTCAGCAGAAGGACATAAAGGTCACCGCGCGAATCGAACCCGCGACCGAGCTGGACTCCTCACGCGGTCACGAGGGAAACGCGTCCCGTTGGGCGTCTGTTGAAGATGAACATGCCTAGAGCCACTGCGACTCTTGCACCTTGATCCCGACCTCCGTTACCAGTCTTCGCGGGGGCTTGCTCTTGTATTCTGCACGTTTGCACGACGTATCTTACGACTTAACGAACCTGGGGCCATATCAACCATGGCCGCCATCCTCACATCTACAAACCTGGTACTACTCGACCAAGCCACCCTCAAGCACCCTCCCTCCACGGCAGACTCAACATGCCCCCTTCCCCCACTTCCCTCTAGCATGGCATGGAGTGCGGACAGCAACTCGATACTTGTCTCCTCTGCATCCGGTGGGATCCTCCAGTACGATCTTACCACAGGTTCTTTGCAAGACGCATGTCCCGCGGCAAACGGTAGCTCGGACCCAATCGTGTCCCTACTCACCAAAGATCGCGGGAACACCGTAATCTATGGCAGAGGGAAGCAGGTCCTCCTTGTATCTACACAAACAGGCAAAGTCGCGCAGACCTTCGACACGCACAAGGCTACCATAACTTCCCTGTCGCTATCGAACGACTCTTCCCTCCTCGCCTCCACCTCTGCACACACCATTCACGTTCACAACTTGACTCTCGCTTCACACACCGTTCTCCGCGGCATACCTACTGGAAGCAGCACTGTTTCAGCATGTGCATTCCACCCACATTCGCGAACTCGACTCCTGGTTGGTGTGGACAGCCAGCTGCTCGTGTACGATACCACCCGTCCGTCCGGGCCGGCGAAGGTCATCCCCATCGACAAGGACCAGAAGAATGTGGGACCCATCGTCGGCATCACTTGCAGTCCGTTCAGCAAGACATTGGTTGCAGTGGCTTGTAGTGGAGGGGCGATTGGTTTGGTTGACCTGGAGAAGGAGAAAGGGTACGTCCGCATAGACGTGTTGTCGAGAGCCTGGATGCTGACCCCAAGCGTGCCGATAGCCTCTTCCGTCTAGTCCAGATGCCTGCCCCCCTAACTTGCCTGTCGTTCTCCGCCGAAGGCGCGGCTGTGTATGCTGGTACGGAAAACGGCAAGTTCTTGATACTCGATCTCCGCGCACTCGACAAGCCCCCGAAATCGGTGACAGTCAGCGAGAACGGCGACCAAGTCATCGCAATCTCCGTGCAAGTGAGTACCGCTATTGACGCATTATCTCGAATGACCTCATGCTGATCGTGCCCCGAACGCGCTGTAGAAGAAACTCAAGCCCGGAGAGGCAGCGGAGAAACCGAAGACGGCGACTAGCGCTGCTGCTACAAAACCACTCGTCCAACGTGATACCAACAAGGTCGCACCTACAACTCGTCGTCCGCCGTCTGCCACTGGCGTGGACACGAAGAGATCAACTGACGACAAGGCTCTGCCGAGGTCCAAGACTACCAGCTCTCTCGCATCAGGAACACCTCGACGAGCCACGACCAGGACTGCGTCAACTGTCGGACCTTCTAAAGGTTCTCCCGCCGGGAGAGTTGCATCTGGCGCACGGAAGACGAACACCGCGACAGTCAAATCGCCTGTCGCATCACGAGCTGAAGCACCCAAGAAGGCGTTCTCTCCGCCCAAGCAGCCCGTTGTCGTGCCCGACAAGGATGGTGATGAGGATGAAGACGGCGACTTGTCCGGTGCGTCCTACCAGAGTGGCTATCGTTCTAGACACATTACTGATACCTTACTGTCAGTTCGTGTTGAGAGCCTACTCGCACTTCCCAAGGGCAAAGCCCCGGCCCCAGCGGATGAAGCTCCTGTGTCGGCCGTCCCCAAAGGAATATCCGCACTATCGCGCACATCCTCGCGCACCCATCCCACCGAAATCCTTACAGCCCGCGCCCACACACGCGCTGCGTCAGCCGCGTCCACCACAGAATCCGCCTCGGCAGCCCTCCCACGTACGCGGTCTGCGTCCTCCGCAAGTGTCGCAGGCCGGGCAAGCAAGGCCTCCACACGAACCGTATCGGGCACGTCCTCCCGCTCTGCATCCCCTCCTCCCCAGCCGCAGCACAGGCGCGTGTCCGGCTCGTCTGCGGCCTCCCGGTTTTCGCGCACACCAAGCCCGGACCTGCCGGATATGGAGGAGGATGGAGGGCCCGTGACCCCGATCCCTGCATACAAAGTCAAGGGGAAGGAACGGGCTGCGGCCGCCCTTGGGACCCCAGAGCTCGACGAGTGGGTCAAGGCCGGCGAAGGCAAGGCCGCGCCAACCGCAGATGACGCACGCAAAGACGGGAAGCGCGTCGGGTTCGCTGCAGGAGACCGAGGCGGAGAGGGCAGCGAGTCTGGCTCAGACTCAGACTCGGACTTGGAACATGAAGTCAACGGGGAGGGGCCCCTGCCGTCCCTCCATGCCAGTGCGAACGCGCGTCTTCCACGCGCAGAGCTCGCGATGCAGGTTTCACCGCGGCGCTCGTTCGCCGGTCCTAGCCCCGCGCGTGCGAGGGTGTCCGCGGCGTGGGCACCGGTGCCGTCGCCGCTGCGCGGGGGGGCTGGGGCGCCACCGTCTCCGCAGGCGAGGGCGGCGCAGGATATGCTGCAGGCGCTGCTGCGGGACGCGCTGCACGAGTTCCGGGAGGAGACCAAGTCGGAGATCGTGGGGCTGCACCTGGACTTGATCCGGATGGGCGGGAGCTGGAGGCGGGAGATGAGGGAGGCGATGGGCGAGTTTGCGGAGGAGATGCGGGAGTTGAGGGAGGAGAATCGGAGGTTGAGGGAGGAGAACGAGCGGTTGAGGAGGGGGTATTGAGTGCTGCGTCTGAACTTTGAGGTATTTTTGGACCGCCGGTAGGGAGGGGGCGTTTGAGGCATGGACTTGGGGGTAGCAGGCGGGAGATGATTCTGTTATGTGCGATGTGCGATTGGCTTACCTCTGTGAATTATGACCTATGTATACATGATGATTCTTGCTGCCAATGACGGATGGAAAGACGGTTTGGTTGAGAGATATCTGCGTTGAAAGCGGCGTTAGGTGTGCTATGCGTACAGTGATGAGGTATTACTTTCTACAAGTCCGTGTAGGGAACGTCTGATGAAGTACGCGGAAAGCAACGACGGCGTATGATACAGGTAAAGTGTCCGAGACACAGATAGTCCGTGGGCTCGAAGATATTAGAAGTGGCCTAGAGTATCCCGCAGGCTAAAGTGTGCGCGATGATTAGACATACGACATGGAGAGAAAGAAGCGCTATCTGCCTACCAGATGAATGTGAATGGCGTCATGGTGTCCAAGTGGGAGTCGGGACTTCCCCTAGCTCCCCGTCGAAGTCATCGATGACGAGCGCGGTGCTTCCTATACGGTCTGTGAAGATGCCATAGTAGCCATCGGTGAGGCCGCGCTCGACGAGATGCTCGTGCAGTCGCGCATCTTCTCGCAAGTCGTCGCCGCCCTCCTCGTCCACCGCAATTTTGACGAGCACGTTCCTTGGAGGCACGGTCGAAGTAGTGGAGTCGACGGCCATGATCGCACCCCATACGATGTATGTCGTCTCGCGGCGGATTGGGCGGGTGATGAGGATGGCCACGTCGGTGGAGACGGTGACGGTCATGGACATGACGGAGGAGACGGTGCTTGAACGCGAGACGATACCTGCTGGGGGCTTGCCTCCGAATGCTTTGCGGGTCGTAGGAGGGAGCTTGAGGCGGCGGAAGCGGCTGTAATTGCGCGACTTCAGGGGACCCCAATTGAACGCGAGATGAAGTTCTTTGGGCTTGAGCTATGCAGCCGCGAACACGGGTGACCTTGCTGATCGCGTATAGTTTGGAATGAACGTACCACAACATCAGGGGTCGTTAAGTGGTGCGCGAGGCTCGAAAGCTCGCTTGCTTCGGCTGCGTTCCATTCGAGCATGCAGCCAGGGTGGGCCCCACGACGAGGACGAGGTGCATGGAGGACGAGAGACATGGGTCAGCGGGGAGTTGGATTGCGGGCGGGGAGCCCGTTAGGGGGCCATGGGCGGGTTGATATATGTGCGGAGGACTGAATTGAAGCCGCAGTGGGTCACTGCCATAATCCGTTTCATCGGGGAGGCTATCCGGGAGCAGGCAGCGTAGACTAGCGGGGAGAAACAGCCGCTCTCGAGCATGTCATCATCGCCGTATGGGCGTCAAAGCGCGTGTGTCACACGGCGTCACGAGTCAGTAAACAACGCGCGCTCGGTCGCGTCGCGTCCAAGCGAATGACAGTGGCCTGCCATGGCCCTCGCGTCGACTTGACATTTGTCTTC